ATAGATTTACATTACCGGCAATAAAAATTTTATCGGCATTAAATAAGCCATTGAGGTTGATATGCCATAAAACAAAAACCAAACCAATTAAAAGGAGTGAAAGTTTATTCTTCTGCTTGCTGTCTTTCGTGCTTGCATCAAGCAGAATTAAGAAATAATAATGTTGACTTAAAACTTAAAAACATAGTATTACTCGTGTGCAGGCAGTGGAATCGGTCTACTGATTTCAAATTGTCATTTAGCCTGTTTCATTTACTTCGCAATAATACATTTGGAAAAGGCATGATTTATTCTTCTTCCACCTAAACTTGACCCTCTTTCCGTGAGTGTTAGAAATTCAACTGAATTCAAGAACTCGTAAGTAATAGAACAGACAGAATCTTTTAACTGTAGGAGGACAATCGGCGAAAGAGAATAAAAATTGAATTCAGAATCATTTGAAGAGAGGATGTGCACCGTCAGTCTATCTTACCCACGACATAGTGATGAGAAGGCAATATAAGCTCATTGGGGAGAAATTACTGACAATTAAAATCGTGGATTGAATGATTCTAGTTTATTCAGGTATTTCGTTAAATCGCCAGACAGGATGGGTTACTACTTGATTTTGGTCATAGAGGAAAGCAAAGATTAGCATTCTTCATTGTCACTTTTGAGCGAAAGTTTTAACTTCCTTTTCCTTGTCATATTGATTAAAAAAGGTCATTATTCAGAGCTCCCATCTGAAAATTAAATACTTTTGTCAAGACTGATTAAAGATAAGATATTCTTTGACGCATGATCAGAGGGAAGATATTAGTGAATGTATTGAAATATATTTAGTGTCTGAACGTGTTTTTTGGTCGTGTGTTGAGTATGATGGAAAGATATAAGTGGATGTATGAAAAACATAGTCATCAATTGTCTGGAGCTAACATTCATTAAGTTGGGGGCTTTACTAATGTTGGGTATATGAAAAAAAGTCTGGTCTGTGTTATCGTTTAAAGGATATTAATTTCCTTTCCAAATATTTTCTTTGTAACAGGATAGAATACATCCACAAAGTATATAACAACAACAACGATAAAAAGAACAACAAAAACAATAATAATAATAATAATAATAATAATAACAGCAGCAGCAGCAGGATTAACCGAAAACATATACGCATGTAGCAAAAAATTTCCAGATACACATGATTTTTTAGTCCATTTCTGTTCATCGCCCGGTAAATATTTGTTCTCTATATCTGACACATCCTGTATATATGTGCTTTTGCATTTGAATATATATATATATATATATATATATATATATATATATATGTGTGTGTGTGTGTGTGTGTGTGTGTGTGTGTGTGTGTGTGTGTGTGTGTGCGTGTGTGTATTCGACGGATGAGGGTCAAGCAGCTCAGTTCCTAGAAACCGACAGCCCAGACACCGGCACATATGATTTGATTATAAAGGGGAAGGCTTTGTGCAGAACCAACCACACTTTTTGAAGGGCCGAATACTGAGACCTGGTGCATTACACGCCACAGCCACCCCCCAAAAAAAAAACTACGCAGGTTTTGAATTCAGAGTTGTCCTTCTCCTAGACCAGTTGCCATCCAAGCCTATAGAACCCAGTCTGTCCCTCTATTTACATATATCTGGAACAAGAAGAAAAGGAGGATTAATATCGGCTACCCTTTTGTGTGTACACATGTTCTCTAACAAAACTAATCAGACCTTCTTGTAGAAACCTGCTTAGGTACTTTAACACGCACACATTCCATCTGTGGTTTATACTGCAACTATTTTGAACGGACTTGACTTACAGTTTCTGAGAAAATGAGTGCCCAATCTGGTGTGATCAACAATGTGAGTAAGGACAGATCGGTCAAACCCTTCTTCTCACACAACTATCGACGGGTTTAATTCTTGAGTCAACCCAATGTAAGATTTTTAGTAACTTAAGTTGTGATCGCATTCCAGGACGGATGACAAGAAGTGATCTCTCTGACCAATCGACCATGGTGAGATTTGAAACTGGGACTCATGGTCGAAAAGCGAACTAACTAAATACCTAGATACTCACACATATATCCATTTATACTTGTATACCTATATGTGATACGCTTGTATATGTGATATGCATCTGTGCATGATATGCATTTGTGTGTATGCATATCCCAGGCATGTGTGTGTGTGTGTGAGTCCGTGTGTAAAATAGAACAAAAACATTATTAAATAAAGTGTTTCGTATATTAATACAGTCATCCTGCGCGTACGATATAATTTTCTTGGACTGATATAATCAGATATGTCCAAATATTGAAATTGCAATTCGATGCAATATACGTCTTTTTTCATTGGTTAAATAAAAGGATTTGAAATTACATACTCTCCTATCGACAGAACATTCACTCGAGTCTTCTTATTATATTTTCTCACTTTCTATTTGAATAAAAAAAAAAGTGGACCGAGAAAAGGCTGCAAAGAATAAGATAAATAGAAGATGAAAATAATGAGAGTTATAGTAATGGAATGCCATAAACATACTTGTATACAAGCATGCATAGATAAAAGGATGGCGCTGTCAGCATTTCGGCCACAGAAGTCTCTTATGAGTAAGCAGACAGTGATAATAGCACATCTCTTCACTGATATTCTGCATAAACATTGTTTTACTGAGCAGTCAACGTATAATTTTTATCTTGAATTTTTAGATGAAGAGATTTTATTATTATCCTTTATACTAGTCTTACAATATATTACAATATAATATTATTGTTCTATTTTAGGTAGACGGGAACAGATGGAAGATGGCAAAAAGGAGATAGATAGATAGATAGATAGATAGATAGATAGATAGATAGAAAATTTCGACTGTTTACATAGATAGATAGATAGATAGATAGATAGATAGATAGATAGAAAAATTCGACTCTTTAGATAGATAGATAGATAGATAGATAGATAGATAGATAGATAGATAGATAGATAGATTCGACTGTTTAGATAGATAGATAGATAGATAGATAGATAGATAGATAGATAGAGAGATAGATAGATATAAACAGACATAAGTAGAAATGAATAGATAGATAGATAGATAGATAGATAGATAGATAGATAGAAAACTTCGACTGTTTAAATAGATAGATAGATAGATAGATAGATAGATAGATAGATAGATAGATATTAAGAGACTGTGATAGATAGAAACAGACATAGGTAGAAATGAATAGAATGAGATATATAGATAGATAGATAGATAGATAGATAGAAAATTTCGACTGTTTACATAGATAGATAGATAGATAGATAGATAGATAGATAGATAGATAGATAGAAAATTTCGACTGTTTACATAGATAGATGCATAGAAAACTTCGACTGTTTAGATAGATAGATAGATAGATAGATAGATAGATAGATAGATAGAAAAAATCGACTGTTTAGATAGATAGATAGATAGATAGATAGATAGATAGATAGATAGATAGATAGAAAAAATCGACTGTTTAGATAGATAGATAGATAGATAGATAGATAGATAGATAGATAGATAGATAGATATAAACAGACATAAGTAGAAATGAATAGATAGATAGATAGATAGATAGATAGATAGATAGATAGATAGATAGAAAACTTCGACTGTTTAAATAGATAGATAGATATATAGATAGATAGATAGATAGATAGATAGATAGATAGATAGATATTAAGAGACTGGGATAGATATAAACAGACATAGGTAGAAATGAATAAAAAGGGAGTTATAACCAACATAAATAGAATAATAAATGCTTTGGATTGCGAATGTTTTTTCTTCCACAGTCGCCATCAATGGCTATGCATTTTCTATGCTCTCTTTTTTTTTGCAAATTGAAGTCTTGTTTCGGTGCCAAAGTTTCTCTCGTACATTATTTTCACCAAACTAAAATTGTGCAATTGTGGATCTTCGTCTCTGCAAACGGTCCGAAAGCAAATAGGAATACCAAAGGATGTTAGACACCCTTTTTCCAGGTGGCTGCTTAGCTGGTATATTTAAGAAAACAAATGCATTAAGAATTATTGGCCAGATCATTTAACTGTTACTTCCATACTATAAACATCCAACTCTTTTATTGTGGAAAACATACTTCAATATGAGGCTTTATTTTCGGAGCAACCTCATAGAAAGAAAGAAAAAAAGAAGCAGGATTGTAGAGAGAAATAGGGAGACTGTCATGTGAATAGTGAAAGAGAGTAAGAGACAGTGTGTGTATTAAGAAAGATAAATATACAACGGCAATATTTTTCTTCTTTCAACGATCCTGTCTGTGGTATCTGATTTCATTTATCGTTTGAGGTTTTCTAATTGTTCTGTAAGTTGATATATTGTTATGTGTCTTATTTATTCAATTCCGAATTCAGGTTTCGAGTCGCGATTCATTTGCTGGAATTTTCATATCAGTCCTGCGTCCCGGGCGATGGACCCCGGCTCAATCGCGGACCTGATCAAATTACCGGCCGAAAATGTATCCGCACAAGCCACATTTCAAATCAACGATTTTCCCATTTTAAAAGGGAAAATGGTAATGCCATTGGCCGCTTTCCATCACTACGGTCGAGGAAAAAAATAGTTAAATATTTTTCTCTTGCTGATAGATTTTTTTTTTACTCCTGTGACAGTGGAGACTTCAGGAGTTATTGGCCCTCGTTCGATGGCGTTCCTTCGGAGGATTGGCGCGATTGCGTCTCGATTAACGCGAAACATAGTGGCTCTTGCAGCGTGTCTCACTGGCGATGGTTCGTGGTAATGCTTTCTCCATCATTGCGACTGGCAGAGGATACAAAAACTTTTTCAAACTTTTTTTTCAGTAAATAAATTTCTCTATATTTATTATTATTTATTCACTTAATTCTTCCCCTACGTCACCCTGTGCTTCTTTTCGCCAGCCATTTAATTTCATGCCATTCCCTGTTTTATTGTTTCAAAACAATTTTTCTTTCTAAATATTCTTTCTGGTAATTTCATAGTTTTCAATTATGATTACTCTCCGTCCATTACACTACACACTCCCTTTCTCTTCTTATTGTTACATTCTTTACTTTACACTATTTATCTGCCTTCCTTTCGTCCTTTTAACACTTTGACCCCCACCACCGATTTACCGGTGGTAGAGAAAAAATAATGTAATGCTCAGCCACCGGTTGAACAGTGGTAGAGAAAAATGGCTTAATGCCCAGCTCCAGGTGGGTAAATACTTCTAACTATTTTCAGATCTACCGTGAAACATTACATAGCAATTATTTGCGAATTTTAACTCCGTAGAAGGGTTAAAATTGTTCCGGAACGCAGGGTTCAAAGGATTAATAGTCTTCTTTCCTTCTTATTACCCACTTTCATTTTCTTGTTTTTACTACCCAACCTTTTCTCTTTTTACTTTCAATCTTTTCTTCTTCCCTTCCCCTTGCTTTCTACTCTCCTTTCTTTCCTCCTTTCTTTCCTCCATTTACAGAATTTCTGGTTACTCGCCCCCTTCCTCATTTACTCCCCTTCCTTCCTTCTTTTCAATCCCTTCATTTCCTCTTTTTATCCTCCTTCCTTTTCTTCTTTTTTACTCTCCTTCCTTTCCTCTATTACCCCCCTTCATTTCCTCTCTTACTTATCTTTCTCTCTTCCTTGCTTTCCTCTTTATACTCTCCTTCCTTTCATCCTTTCACTTATCTTCTCATCCCTTTATTAATCACTTAATTTCCTCTTTTTATTCCGTTTCCTTTCCTCTTGATACCTTAACTTCATTTAATATCACGATCATGAGTCCAGTAATCATTTAGTATCATAAGGTCATCAAATTGTCTTATATTTAGAGTTGCCCTTACATACTGGCTACCTTTCCAAGGCTAAAAGCCCAATCTGTCCTTATATTTAAATTACCACTATGTTATTTCTAAAGGTTATAGTTTTAAGTGAATGTAAAAGACTCAATCTAAATTTGATCTCCCCTCACCCCTTCCAATTTCCGAACTGATAACTGACCAACAGCAACACTATCAGAACCGCCACCATAACAGTAAACATCATTCTTCTAGTTAGATGCTTCATGCATTCGTCTTTTGAGTTATGGCATAGTTGTTATTATTGCTATCTTTACCCTCTCAATATACTCCATTATTATCCTAACGGATATCTTAATAATTATCCGTGTTATATCATCTTCTTAGGCAATGATCGATATCACTAAGAGAATATATTCAACACATATGTCGCACGCACGCACACACACACATATATATATATATATATATATATATATATATATATATATATATATATATATATATGGTGTTTATTTAATTTTTATGTGTTCGAACAAGTGTTTTCGTTTCTGGACACAGTGTGTGTAGAAAATGTACAAATATTTTACAATCCCGAGCGCTTTCGGCGATAATTTTAGCCATTATCTTGGATGATTTTATTTTTACTTTTTAACTGGGGAAATGGGTTGTGTTTATGTTTTTAGAGTTATGGGGAAATTAAAAAAGTCTTCGGAAAATATCATTGTTAACTGAGGCAAGAAATGTCATTTAACTGTTAAACTGTTGTCTTTAAGACGTCTTAGAAAAACTGCCTTCCATCAGTATGACTGATGCTAACCTCCTGAAAAGTAACTGACTCTGACACTGATGTGTAATTACATGATTATATTGAATCAATTGCTTGGTTTGCTTACTAGTAAATTTGCTTACCTATGTTGTACCAAACATTTTTCTTGTTAGTATCCATCTTGCATTTTTATAAATCTACCATTCGCCCGTGCATTGCTGTCACATCTGGTCCGTGACTCTATCTATATATCTCGAGATTCTGGCAAAATCTAAAAAAGGGTCTCTAAATGTCATAAGACATGATCTGGCACATCAACTTCAGACATTTTGACATCACCGTAGCATGCCATTATCGTTTCCTTTCTATAACATGGCTCTTTCATGGCAATTGTCCTAATCACATTTTTTCTATGTGGCTCGTATTCGAGAATATAAGGCTAATAGTAGATGAGCAAATATTTCTCATTGTTTTACCATTTAAACATGAAGAACCATGAGTTCTATTCTTTCGATTCTTGCGCTGTAAAACATTTTCTGCTTTCTTGCTTCCCTGTCATCTACGATCTCCGCAAATTTAAATGCAACCCCAATTCCTGAATACTGTTCGTTTATTGTCCTTTCTTCTCACCGGAAACTACAACGGCCGAAACGTTGTAATAAATATGGCGACAAATATGAGGACAATAATCCGAATACTGTAAATAGTGTACATAATACCTCATCTCAGAAATATAGACAATTATATAGAGACATCATGGAGTAAGAATAAGCCTTGTGTTTAACATAATCAAGCCTATGTTGATAGATTTGGAAACGAGGATGTAGAACTGCAAAATGAGTTATGGCAAAATATTTTTGATGAAACAATTTTAAGATGTACTCCTCTATCAAAAGCCAAGTCGAGGCTGTTCGTGCCAGTGGGAGCCATACTAAATAATGGATATTTTGATGTCTCTAAATATATAAATAAATTTCTTTTATGCAATTTGAGTAGAGTTTGTTATCGTTACAAGCATTTAATTCTACGTTTCCTCTAGTGGCTAATAATTTTTGCAGAGCCTTTTTTCAGTATCACAATGCATCCAGGTTTTTTATCTCTACTTGTATATGGTCCATTTTATTGTGATAAGTTGCATTACACTTTTCAGTGAGCACGGATACTAATCTTGGAAGTATATTATCGAATACGTGAAGATTCTTAATGTAAATTGATTTTCTTTTGCTATGTAGCTCATTTATTCTGCTCACTCCTATACGAAGGTGGACTGAAAAGTTCATAGGCTGACTATGAAGGAATGATACTTAAACTGTGATATCTTGCATGCATTAATTTCATCTCTTATTAATAACTGCATTATTTCTTTCCAGGTAAACTGACATCTGCCTCTTCAAAGAAGTCTCCAAAAGTAACGCGTAGCAACTTCTCTTGAAAATGGACAAATTTTCGCATCAAGATGTTACCAAATTCTTTCAGAAAAAGGTTTTAGCCCTTACGGGCATTCATTCTGACATGGTTGCTAAATTAGGGGGCAACGAAAAAGGTTTATCAACAGTGTAAAATTGGGAGGAGAATGGAAATACTTGAAGATGAACCAATGTCTGGATTTTCTGCAAATAACACCCTCGAAGGAAACATTGTGCTCATGACATCGTGAGGGATGGTAGGTGATTGACTGTTAATCAAATAATCAATGCTATTAGCATATCCCGTGAGAGATTTGAGAATATTCTACAATAAAATTCATGCAAGACGCAATCGTCTAGCATGAAACAGCCTGTCGCCTCTAAGTGTTGAACTCAACGTTCACGTTTATATTTACACACGCTCTGTCTCTGATATTGAGCACTTTATCCCATAAATATAGCACAATTAAGAGTATATTTCTTCATATATATATATATATATATATATATATATTGACGACTTTATATATATATATATATATATATATATATATATTCGACATATGAGGAAACAGACAACCCGACAACAGAAATATGAGATATGATTATAGTGGTTAAGGTCTCATGCAGGACCATCGACACTTTTTGATACAGAGACCTGGTGTACTGAGTGCCACAAGGTCTCCAAACGACCCTCCGCAGGTTTTGAATTCAGAGTTGTCCTTCTCCTAGAAAAGTTGGCATCCAAGGCTATAGAACACAATATTTCCTGCTATTTACCCATAGCTGGATGGAGAAGAAGAGGATTCATACCATGACGTGTTTTAGGAAGTGAATGTAATGGATTCAACTGGAATTCGAACTCGGCTCGCCGATTCCTAAATCAAGGCCGGTATCCATTACACCACCGTGCCTCCTCTCTCTCTCTCTCCCTCTCTTACTCTCTCTCTCCCTCTCTTACTCTCTCTCTCTCTCTCCATATATATATATATATATATATATATATATATATAAACATTTGACTGGGAACGAGCATCATAATTGCTGATCCCTTTTTGACTAACAGGATGAAATGTTCTTCACCAAACACTATAATATTGATGGAAGGTGTGTGTGGACGGAACTATGTTGAAAAATAAACCTCATTTGTTCACATTCTTTGTGAGTAGCTTGGTCCGCCTCTGAACTTTTATCACAATGATTATAAGTAGTTTATATTTTATAATTAAACATTTTAATAAGTCAAACAAAAGGAAAATATTTTCATAGACATCATCTTCATTATTGCTAAGACTATTACTCATTTTAGTATCATCATTTTGAAAAATAATTTTTCTTTTCTTTTAGATTGTATCGATTAGGCAGATTTATGAATATTAATATTGCTACACAGGATTTACATTTGCAAATGGCAGTCAACCTACTTTTTATCGAAATTCATGCAACTTGATCTGTTTTATTCATCGATATTCCAATCCCAATTGGTCAACTCTTTCTCACCAAAGTAGAAACAAAACTAAAAAGTAAGAATAACAATAAAGCATATCGATTAGAAAAGAAAGCCAATTCCATACTAATAAAGCAAATTCGATTCTGATTATTACTGACTGCTTCAGGCACTTTCCATCTGAAATGTTAAAAGGATATAAAATTAATTAGCCATTCTAATGAAAAAGCATTCTGAAGAGAATTCTAGTCTTTTTGTTTTTCTTCTAGCGTTGTTTATTCGATAGTTTTTAATACACAAAGCCGATATTTGAACATTCAACTTTGTGCTCTGCAGTCCAATATTCGAGTCTGTAACAGAAAGTCAGATTCGATTAAAACTAACATGAAAAAGCCCATATTTTTCCATGTTCTGTGGATAGATTTTTCATACAGAACTAAATAACTGCGAGTTCGAACACATTTAAGAGACCATCGCTAATGAAATTTTTATTTAATTCCATCTCATGTCTCAACCAAATCATCCACCCTCTTTTAAGAATAGACTTAAAATCTTACTAAAAAGATTTCAATAATTTTATTTTTTCGAAGCTCACCCTGGCAACAGAAAGTGTTTAATCTACGGAACGGAAATTCTTAACGTTAAAATTTAATTCTTTCGTTGTAATGATCGTTTATGACTTTATGGCGGGAAAAGGCTTGAATATTCTCAAAGTTTAATCACTGTCTCGTCGAGTCAGAGAAAAGGAGGAAGATTAGATTGCCACAGCAATATTTTAAGAAAACAACTAACAGAATCTTATCCGCCATAGAAATATCGCCTGCAATATATAGATTGTAAATGACCATGTCACTGTTGCATAGCAAAGTGACCAGATCGGGTTTATGTAATCTATTCATTTCAGAGGAGGGAGTAAATGAAAATATTTTTCTCTTATTTCGGGACAGCTGTTCTGTTACTCGTTTTCTATTTCTATTCAGAATTTATTTTCAATCTTGAAAAGCAATCTAAAATTCTAAGCCAATTAATTTGACTGTAATAATAATAACATGTATACACACATAAAAACACTCTCCAAAGTTTATTACAATGATCGTAGTCACAGACATGGCTAAAATACGTGGAGCATCTTATTTCATTATCAATGGCTTTTTTAAAATTATAGAGACTCAGATTTCGATTTTAAATTATGTAGCCTCTTTACCCACGGGCAATGAATGAAAAGCCTAATAATTAATAGCTTAAGGCTGTTTGCATAATTTCTATGGTATCAGATTCATAAGCCAATCGCTAGG